AAAAACAAAAAAACACAACAGTTCAGATATTCTCACCTGAAAAAAATTTAGATAAAATTTGCCTCAAGGGCAGGTTGAAGAGAGTAAAGGATAATATATTTAATGATATTTTGCAGGTTATACATCATCACACAAATGCAAATTATTATAGTTATCACAAATTTGTCACAATACAGAACATATTTGTAACAACTCTTTTAATAAGACTCTTCTTAACTGGAATCTTAACCTGTAAATTCATCAATACTCCCTCATGTCCTATGTACTACAGCTTCAAGCAAGGAACCCAAAGCCACATTCTAGGGCTTACTGTTCTTACTCAAGCTACAGTCTGTTCTTACTCAAGCTACAGGATGATGACTGGACGTGCAGAAAGCTCTCAGTACAAGACAGAACTCAGCACCATCTGCAATCAGATACTTATTAAATGTCTTTTTAGTTTTTAGAATCACTAGATTAGTACTCAATCTTTTGTATATAAGGTATCATGTAAGGGAGGTTATTCAGCCTAATGAAGAAGACTGACTACATGGAACTTAGAATTTAAGCATGGGCTGAACAACAGCTAAGGCCATCATTGGATGTATGAAAATTTGGCAAGTGGCCGGGCACGGTGGCTCACACCTGTAATCCTAGCACTCTGGGAGGTTCAGGCAGGAAGATCACTTGACCTCACGAGTTTGAGATAAGCTTGAGCAAGAGTAAGACCCTGTCTCTACTAAAAGTAGAAAAATTAGCCAGGCATGGTGGCACATACCTGTAGTCCCAACTACTTGGGAGGCTGAGGCAGGGGGATCACTTGAGCCCAGCAGTTTGAGGTTGCTGTGAGCTAGGCTGACGCCATGGCACTCACTCTAGCCTGGGCAAAAGAGTGAGACTCTGTTTCAAAAAAAAAAAAAGCAATAAGCAACCTTGAATAAAAGATTAACTAAATGCCCATTATTCCCTGAAGTATTCTTAATTTTCTGAGAACACAGATGATTCCTTTAAAAATAAACAGCCACGCTCTATTAGCAGTTACAATGATATGAGTATACATAGTTTTATAAAGGAAAAGACTATAAAAATAGGGGGATTATTTCAGGCTTCCTCAAATGAAGTGAATTCTTTAAGTAATTAAAAAGTAGAGAGGGAGATTTAATCTGGGATCTATGAATGAGTTTCATAGGTTGTGCACATCTTGTGAAACTGAAAAAAATGTGCGCACATTTTTCCGGGAGAGTATTACAGTTTTTTCAAGTTTTCAAATACTCTAAGAAACGAAAATTTTTTTACTGGTTTCAAAGACAAGAGAAGGAGCAAAATATACCCAGGAAATCAGTGTATATTGATTGTGGAATTTCAAATCTCTACAGAAAAGACAGATCATTCACAAACAATACTGGAACATCTGGGAAAAAATTTAGTTCTGTACCTCAAACATGAGAATATATTCTAGATGAATCAAAGACTTACACATGGAAAATTAA